ACCGACTTTGCGATCGCACAGCCTATGTATAGGTGACTGTATGTGTCCAACAGTTGCTCCCAACACAGCAACCATTGCAATGGTATGGTTAGGGCGCAGATGATGTCCGAAAAGGCCATATTGACGATCAATAAGTTGATAGTCGTTCGCATTTTCTTGGATTTCATGACAACCCGACACACGAGACTATTGCCAAATAGGGCCACAATTGTTGTCATCATATATAAAGTTAATACGAAAATATCCCTCAAATGCCAGTCATTTTCCGCGCTAATGTCCGTCGGGTTTGGAGTGTTATAACTGTAATCATTTAAAGTATACATTGCTTTCCACTTGTAGCCCAAGAATGGACTTTAAATTCCAGACTATGTTATCATTAGTCAGTAGCTATTGAAAGCAAACGCGAGACTAACTTTCGCACAGAATTTGTCGTAAATTAAAAATAAAGTTTTCTAATTTGCATATTTCTAATGAATTTGTAGCGAAAATATGAATCACATATGAAAAACAACATAAATCTAATATAAAGTATTAAATATATTGATGAAAGTCACACAACAACTATTGCATAGATTGTCAGTGTTTGTGAAAAAATCAATTTATGAGATCCGCTGTTAACGTTGTTTACTATAGATTTTCATTAAAAAAAACTCTCATTTCGCAGATACTGTTCAAACAACACACAAACTCTTCAATCAATTGCTTATAAACTACTGAATAAACTAATCCGAGCGTAACGTTAGTCGTCTCCAAACACGACTGACACTCAATTAGTTTCCCTTTTTTAGAAGTTTTCACTTATAGTATGAGTGCATCGAAAAGGGGTAATAAAAATAAGTCTCATATTCTGCACGACAAACAAAACAAAATTCATTATCTATTAAAGTGTTATTTACCTGTTTATATGAACTCACAGTATTATTTACATAACTAATAGTGTCTGATAAAATATCTTTAAACTAGCTGTTAAAATAACATAATGCTAATAATACTCATAGTGAAATGCTTAATATAACTGTACGAGGGTAATTAATAGAAATATTTTTAATGTCAATGTTTAGTGCGACAATCAGACATCTATTATAAACAACAGAAAGTTTTTTAACACGTACTTTAATGTAATTGTATTAACGATAATAAAACGCATGTTTTTTCGGCAACTAATGAAATGCTTTATTGATTTAATACACAATCGTTTTGGTCGAGACATTAAGTTATATTTGACTTATGTTTGTAATGATTGTAGGGTTTCTATGACTTCATTTATAAGAGAAAACAGTGTAGGGTTAATCATTTGGCTAATCAGTATTGGGCTTAATGTTGTTATTGTACACAAAATTAGTTTTAGTTGTGGCTTTTGGTTGATCATTTATAGTCATTAATTCTTAGCTATATTTAGCTATATATAAGTTATGGGTTTTGATTACTAGACTTCTACGAAATAATGTGTGATTTATACGTTTTTGCAATTTATTTTATATTAAAAAGTATCCAAAACTCGAAAACAAGTTTTGCCGTCAATTTTCTTAGCGAGAGATCTCTTGTATGAGATTTTTTAGCATTAAGTGAAAACTTTATGACAAAACTCTAAATAAACTATTAATATAATTATGTCAGACGTAGCACTAAATCTTCATTCATTTAAATGATTATCTCATAAACACAGACTTGATTCTGGGAGTAAAGCCCTATAATAGTGCAAATCGTTTACGATATTCCTTGTTTTCATTTTTCAAAAAGTGATTTATTATTTATTTTGCACAAATATCGTAGAATGTTATTTTTGATTAAATAAATCAATTCATTAATATTTTTGAGCAAAATGAGAGAAAAAGGGCGTCGAGTTTGCAATGACTGAATGACTGCCTCATTGCCAGCACAAGAATATACTAATATTCAGAGGAATGACAAATGGATTCATAAGAAAAGTACATATTTTAGAGCCCAGTGTAGTGTCTATTCTTGAGATTCCCTTTTAATATATTATGTATAAATTCGGCTTAAATTGATGACTACAATGAGAATTGCTTTATGCATGCATTTATCGATTATCTCATTAACCAAACGCCGGCATATAATGTATAAGCTGTAAAAAGTGTCACTGTTTTTAACATGTCATCCGAGAGATATTCATTTACTCCATATGAGACACTACAGAAACACATCTTCTCCTCCTGAATACAATACACAAATTAATTCACTCTCTCTTAACAAAAAAACGTCAATTCTTATAGACTTTCATAAAGACGTCTTCACGATGTCATATATACGGCACATATTTTCTGACTTATGATTGTTTTTTCATAACAAAGACTGTCATTAAAATAATTCATTTGAGGGCTGGCGGTGCACACAGAAAAAATAGGCTTAAAAAGCCGTATTTCGGGGCTATTTTTATTGATATATCGATTAAATGATAAGCCCTTTGTAGTGAAATACACTGTTGTTTATGGTTTTGATTCCTATTCTGATTCCAGTCATATATAAGAGAGAATAACTTATATACGAAATGAGACCATAAATCTCATGAGTACTCGAAACCCGTATACCAGTTGTAAGACCCTATGTATAAGGTTTACCGAAACAACTACTCAAACATATTCTCGATGCAAGCCTTTGGCTATTGTATTACATTTTGATGAATTCATCAATTTTGCACTGAACGCACACTTAGCTATAAATATAAATAAATAGTCGATTCGATACAGTATTAAATGAAATTATTTTTATACCAAAGGTTATCATATCTATCATTAAATTATCAGATATTTGACATCCAGCTATAACTTAACAATCATTGACGATAACTCATGAAATATTCATATCTGATTGGATTATACGTTGCAACAGAAGTAGAAAATATTGTGATAGTTAATAAAAAAGTCTGGGGTTTTTGTGTTTGAGGTTAACATTCCTATTGATAACCTCATTATTTGACGAGTTATTCAAATAACGTTGAAAATGAAAAATCTAATCGCACCGTATCTACACATAAATACACAGTTACTTTAAATTACTTAAAATAAATGAAAAATTCACAAATTCTCTCAACTTTTCACTAAACTCTGTTAATTACGATATGAATAATTAATTAGCATTTTTGCATTAATTACCTAATAATAGGATATTTGCAAACATTAGGCCCCCGTATGCCTGAAAAGCAATTACATTTGAGCGTAAATGTAAATTAAAATTTGAGCAAAAATATGATAACAGCCCAAAGGTTTTCACGAAATTTGATCCGTAAATTGAAATTTACTACTTTTTACATCAGGTATTGAATAATTTTTCACCAGAAAAACTCCCAAATTTGGTTCAACATTAATTAAACACATTATTTTTTACTACTTTCCACTCGCGAAAATTTGTTTTACATTTGTGCCTAATCTTAAATAAAAATATTTATTATTTGTATTTTATAGTTTAATTTATATATTTATATTAAGAAGTCGATTACTAGGGGGATAAATAAAAACTTTTTTGGATACTCGATACTAAAAATAGGTTTCATTTAAATTAAATTACTATAAAAATAAACCACTAAAATATAATTTAGAAAAGTTTATTATTTTTTAAAACTTATTATATAAATGAGAAAATTTTCTCTCTCTCTCTCTCTCTCTCTGTGAGAGAGAGAGAGAGAGAGAGAGAGAGGTCAGTAAAACAACAATAAATTTAAGTGTTGTTTAAAAAAATTATATTTGTGTCAAACATTTACGAGATTTGATAAAATAATAGAAAAGATAAATTCAATTACAATATTATATTTATTAATGAAAATGCAAATATAATGTGTATTTGTTTACAAAAGCAAAATAAAAAATTGCAATCAATATAATTGCAAATATGTGCCATTATTTCATAGCATTAAAGTAATAGGCATTTGGAAAGGAAATGACATGAAATTAATAATTAAGCAAACAATGAAAAAGATAAAAAGTTGTTAAAATAATTTATTTTTCTCTCTTATGAGTCGATATCCGATTAGATAAGAGATTTAAATGAAAAGTAATTATTTGTTAACTAGGAGTTTAGCGGAGTCAATGCTCAGGGTGATTTAAATTCAATTCAACTCGTCTATGTAACTCACACTAATGCTAAACATTCTCACTCACTATTGGATAAAACTTTTGTTGCAAACTCACCACAAATAACGCTTAGATAAGAGTCGTTCCCTTTAGTGTTAATCGTATGGGAAATAGTGGACATAATTTGCGTGCCTTGTAATGAAAGTATGAATCATAGTCTGTATGCGAGTCGTGTGTATGTATTGACTGTTTTGATCGCAGTGTTGGTGAGTGTGTTGAGCAGTGTCTCAGAGTCTCAGTGTCTATGCGTTTGTCTCTCAGTCGCTGTTTCACTGCAAACCCCATCGGATCCACAGTTTAAAGGGATCGCTGTTTGTGTCAGTGGTTTGTCTCAGCAATGGATTCACGTGTCTTCACACCAGACCCACCACACAGTCACTGATCACTTGAGTTGCCATCACTCGTGGTGTCCGCCAACCAATTGACGCATTCATGCCAGTGATGGCCAAAGAGTCGGACACTTTGGCGGAACTCATGTCTCAAAGTATTGTTCACAACAATAATGGGACGGAAAGTGAGTGCAAGGGATGTGCTGTGAATGGGTTGGTGTCTTCGCCATCGACCTCTTCGCCACACAATCGACTCAGTCTTCAGCGACTGTCCGCCGAAAAGAGGGCCAAAAGAGTGAAGTTTTTCCTCAATGGAGACAAATATTTCAAAGGCTGTGTCTATGCCGTCAATGATAAGACAATCCGCACCTTCGATGCCCTCATCCAAGACCTCAACAGACTCTTCAGACATCATGTAAGACACCATTTGTTGATCCCATGAGCCCATCGTTCGGGGCATTCATTTCAATGCAATTAATTTGTTTTTTATTTGCATTTTAAGGCATTAATTATTTAATGGATTTATATTTATATTACTTTTGATTTTATTTGTCGAAAGTTTTTCTCTCAAAGTATTCATTAATTATTTATAAGATCTCTCTCTCTCTCTCTCTCTCTCTCTCCCTCTCGAGGAATGACTTCACTGTCATATAAGGATAAGTGAAGTCGTTTTTAGCTGTTTATAATGTGTTTTGTTTTTACAAAAATACTTGATTTGAAATTTCAAGGAAAATGTGAGCCAAACATATATAGTAATGAATTGGGAATTAATTTTTGGCAAATGAATTGAAATTATTGTTGTTTTGTTTGAATATATGTTTAATTAATTATATTAATCAGCAAACTCTATGTGAGGGACTGGTAGTCGACCCACACTTTACACTCCCGTATCACATGATGGGATACACTATACGTTTATTACCACTCATACGGTGTCCTATTTAGGCGTTTGTCATCAAATTCATCACATTTGCGCTCATATTTGTGCAAATAATACATGAAATAGCACTTGATTTTCACGATTATATTCACGAAATGCCAATTATTTGCTTCATTACTCATTCACAACACTTATCACAAAGACTTTGTTTTTAATTGCATTCCTTGCTGTCATTTCTTGCTTCAGATAATTATTTACGTAAACTTTTCCCCATAATTACAAACAAAATATAAGTTATATGTTTTTATATGTTTTAAAAAAAACCTTTTTTATATTTAGAGAAATTTCTACATTTTTTATATCACATAAAAGTTGTTATTTGTATTTTTCGTATGATATTAATCTTTGTTTGAATTTTTGTGTCAATGTCTCAATAATTCTTGACTTTGATTTTACTCTTGTTTTGTGTTTTTTTTGTTGAGATTTTTATTTTTACTCCTCTTTTGCTTTTCATTCACTACTCCGTGTATTAACTCTATATTTATCTCCTTTTTTATCTTTAAGTCCCGATAGAAAATTTAGGCCTAAATTGAGTGAATGTCTGTCTATTTGTCTTTATATCAAAGTTTTCTTTTATATTATATTTTCTGTATATTGTCTCCCGTTTTGAATCCCTATTTGCGGACAAAATCTCTTTTGTGTGCGTTTTGTTCAGACCAATGGAGACATTAATAAAATGAGTTTTTATTGGCAAACCTAATGTTAGGTTTAGTTTTTTTTAAAACTATTATCTGATTTGAATAAAATGTTATTTTCGTAGTTTTTTGTTTCTTTAAATCTATTATAAGTGAAACGGTCTCTGAAAGTGAATTAATCTCAATATATCTGGCAATCAGTTGTAGGTCTTTGTGTTGAAACAAATCCTAATGTTTGTGTCGTTTTCTTTTCATTTCGTTTCTTACGCTTATATCTTCATATTTTTTGTGTTCACAAAAATACTTATTGAGTGAAAAATTGGTTTAGTTTTGGTTCAGAGATTGACATAAAACCGGAATATTTATTATTATCGAAAACACACCGAAAATTTTTGGCATTTCTTTCCTACGGATTCACTAGTCTTTGCTCTCATTTCTCTCTCTCAACTGTTTTTGTGTTTCGTTTCTCTCAATCGATTGCATTATATGTTGTGATCTCTGCTTAAAAATAGTTGAACGCTTTTAGCATTTGATTCACTTCTCCATCAAAAATCTTCATAAGAATAGGGATTTGAAGACAAAAACGCGAGAAAAATAGCGGCAAATATCGATCCGAAACGAGTAGATCATTAAACTAATAGCTAGTGTTCTGTGAAATACTAAAAATCTGCTCTTTTATTATTCCGTTTATTATATAATCTATTGATTTGTTTTCATTCAAAACATACACTTCTAATCGATTGCAACAATAATTTCATGTCTGTTTCCAATGTTAACATTTGGCGATTCGTCTGCCGATGCTCTCCCGTATTAAAGTCAATGTTTTTGTTATTAAATTAAACATTAAATTACTTTTTTGGTTATGAATGCATGAAATGAATTAAATATTTAGAGAATTTCTCATAGAGTCAGACATACAGACAGTGGTGTCTGTCGTTCACTTTAAATGAGTCTAAAGTGGTGTCTAAGAGACTCTTCTCACGGCATACCTTCCGTTGAAAGCAATCGTTTGTCTCATAAGACTTGTCGATAACACGGCAATTAATTAACAGTAAAAAGTAAAATAAAAATCACTTAACATTTATTACACTCGTTATAACGTAACGATAATCGAGTTTATCGTTAAACCGATACCTTCTCTCGAGACACACCTAACAAATGATTAAATAATAATAAAATATAAACGTTTACGTGAATTGGCATTGCTTATCAACACTTAATATATTCATGTCTTGCCGTCAATTAATTGAAAGTTACTTTTCTTATGACTCGTTTGCAACGGAAGCCCTGAGTTTTACTACTATTTTATCATTTGATTCGTTTGAATGATTTCTTTATTTAGACTTAAATTATCCACAAATTTATTACTCATTTAATTATCTCCGATATTTGAATGCATGCAACAAACTGCCGGTTCACTCACTTTATGAGTTAATTTCATTCTCTCGTTCAGACGGTTACTCCAAAAACATGTTTAGATTTTGTTTAGTTTTCCAAATCTCATAATCAACACAATGGCCATTAATCTCAGACTTCCACTATTGATAATTCAATTTAGTTTCTAATTAATGACATATTCTTCGTAATTCACGTCAACTAACAGTGTTTTCCCATATAATACCAATACTTATAAAGCAGTTTATTGTTCATTCAAAACAATATTTATTTGCCCGTCAAATAGTTTTTGTTTACAAATACTTATACTGATATATACAATGTATTCAAAATGTATAATAGAACTACTTATTAGACTTTATAATTTTTGTCCCATTAATTACCTGTCACCTAAGGTTTGCTGACACTATGCGAGTACTGCTCGCACCCGCACCTCATTTCCCATACATTTGTATGGATGTGAAGTGTCTATTGTTTTTCATACGAATCGAGATTCTTATCGTAAAACACCGTATATTTAATAAAACTCTCATTTCCTGAAAAAGTTTATTTATCGCTTGAGATACTTATGTTAGTTTCAAATTGACAGACAACTCATACCTTTGTTACTACACTGTGTTTAGTCTATACATG